GGTTCTACCTTAAGTATATTTTATTGTTATTTTTGCCAATTATTAAATGACATATTTCATCTCTATAGTGTTGATTGTGATGATCATAACTCAGCTCAACAGAGCTGCATTGAATGTGTGCAGCATGAGGGAACAAAAAAAATGTTAACGAGAACATGAAGTTAGGAAAAAAATAAAGACCTGATAGATGCTATGCACATGGGATACTCTGCAACTTTAAGGTGTTAAACATTTATCGTTGGCAACTTTTCAGAATGTCGGGAAGTGTCTACTTTAACATGTAAAAAGAGAACAAATCCTTTGTACAGATTTCCAGAGTTAGTTGTTACTGCTGTTTCAAATGTATTTACTTTTCAATCTACATACTTAGTATCTTGATTTTTTATACACTTAAGCAAGTCTCTCACATAAAATATCGGAAGTTCAAACTTGTATGTACTACGCATATTTTATGTTTAAAAAAATCTTTACAAGAAACATATAGAGATAATAAACAGTGTTCTTAATCAAAGTTTATAAAACAGTACAAATAGGAGCAAAGCAAACATGGACATCCAAATATGAGAGATGTGTTTAGGTGCCATGGAAGAGAGTGCATCCCTGCCGACTGGTCACACTCGCCATATGGTCCTTAGTACGATATAGAAATAACGTCGTCAATTAAGTGTATAAATAATGGACTAAATTAGTATGAAAAACTTCAGTCAGCATTTGAATCAATAATAAACTTATTTGATTACGCATGGTCATTGTATCGACCATAGAACTAACGAATTTATGACTTTATACGACACTGAAGATACAATGAATATTCACATAAAACATCATCTTAAAAAACCTGAAAGATTCAATTTGACCTTGAACTTTGAACTTGAAAAAATGAATTAGGTAATATAGAAACTTGTTGGAATATTAACACAAAATATCTAAAATTCAACCAAATTTTTAATCACCACAGATTACTTTAGAATTGCTTCATTTGCACTTGACACATTAAACCTCTGCAGATTGATGACAATTTTATCAAGGAAGGAAAGGAAAGATGAGTACAGACCCTTTCACAATTGGCGCACGAGCACTTTACAACACTTTGCAATCGGAAAATTTTAGCTTCCCACGAGCTCTCGCATACGTTGCACGATGTCTCGCATTCATTGCATGTGTTTTAGTGGTCGCATCAAGTCTCTTCAAAATAGTCAACATGCACCTTTTCAAAGATGAGAATGATAAAACATGAGTATGGTGGTAAAATTAAAGATCAATTTTGGTTACCTTTGTCCGGTTCCATATGCCATAAGACTTGTACACAAGAACATTAAAACAAGTACTTGCGCACTCGAATTCTCTCCTTTCATCTCATGTCCAGATCTGGTGTAAGGGATTCTATATTCTCCACCTGATGTCAAATGTACAATTTTATACAATATTTTCTAACAGTTTATCATTATAAAACATTTTGTTATGGAATGGATGCTATGGATCCTCCCCAAAGAAAACTTGCTTTGAACTGCGATATGTCTAAAATAAATTCATTACTGGTCCTAAAATACCATTAATATGTAAATAACTTGGGGGCAAAGTATTGCCCAAATAAGCAAATTTGTTGTCAGCAATGCAATGCAGAGCGACTAAAATCACTGCATGCCCATATACTGAGTAATGAAAATCTATCGCCAACTAAAGGACAAGTCACAAGCAAATGCAAGGCGCCAAATTACATGTAAGTAAATGTCTAGCACTATGACCCCATATCTAGTTACTAGTATAGCGCAGCCATGGCCCAAACTCTCCCTGTGCTGGTAAAACCTTTAATTCCAGGTAAGAAATGAAAACCTGGAACCCTTGCTGTAACCTTTAAAAAGTTGTTACCTACATGTTATTCTGAAAGGTGTTAATGCACCTTGTCACCTAAAAACCACTTCGGACGATCGGTGTGGATCTCAGGGTACCTAATAAATCTCTCTCTGCCTTTATTAAGAAATTTGCGACACTGCCATTGAGGCGCTTTCTAACTGCATCACACCTTGCTGATTAATCCCCCCCATGTCGCCCACGTAAGAATTGAGAACAGACTATAAAAGTCACTTTACCAGTTTCCGCAAAATTTGAGTAATCCACCCTTATATCTAAATTCTAAAAAATAAAACTTTACAAAATAATACTCAATTTTTAATCAAATCAAGTATTCTTAACATTTTAAAGGACCACGATAAATTAATTAAACGTGTTATTTACATGTTTATTTTCTATTGAAGTAATTAACGGTAATTTCTATTCACTGATACTGTTATGTCTTTGAACATTTTTCCCGGCTGCAAATGCAATGCGCCATACATTAAAAAGTAAATAAATACGCTCAATATTAACTCCTTTACACAATATAAATTTCTTTAAAAATGTTTGCACCTATGTAGAGAGGGACCTTAAATCTATTAACTAACTCCTTCCAGAAACAGGTATGTGAGGGGACAAATTTTAGGTTAAGCAGAGGGGGGAGTCAAATAGGGACAGCCACTCTTCCCAGGGTTATTTCTTTATTACATGTAACTCGCTGAATGGCTTCGTCAATAAAATATACCTTAAAAACTCACACTCGTATGCTTGTCTACTGTCTAGGGCCCTTGTAAGTTGTAACAGAGCTTAAAAACCAAAATGAAAACCTTCCAAGTAATTCAGGTGCAAAATGTGTCGAGAGGATAATTTGTTGAGCATTTTGCAAGGCTCGCAATTTTAAGGGGGGGGTGGTTATACTATTGATGTCTAAAAGACTGGGTTGAACTCGATGCTGGTCTGTTATAGGTATTTGGGGCTGCTTGAGTTTCTGAGGGCAAGGAGCACCATGCTGACTGCGTGTTTGCCGACAGAAGGTTTGATGGAGAGCGAGTTATATTTTTGTGCTTAGTGTGTGGGTGTGGCTGTGAGCAAAGGATACAAGTGTGACTGTACTGACATTGTTGTCTTGGACATGCGCCTTTATAATTAAAATCACTTGAGTGCACTTGAGTGCAGGGGGATTGGGTTCTGATCCCTGCACAGTCTGCACTGTCATAGGTCTGTTATACATATAGAGCAACCACAACTCTCGGTCAACTACTGCAAATGATAATACAGGATTACGCTCTTTTTTAAGTCGGAACTGGGTGTCATAGTCCCGCCAGCCCAACCCCATAATACGACTGGCGCCTAACCGTATTGTGTGCATATATTTTAACAAAGATACTGCTGCATGGGGATGAGCAGATGCATAAATCGTTGAAAAGATAAGGAAAGCGTCAGTCCATACTTGTATGTCCGTAATGGGTTTTGCTTTAGGCTTATTCGTGACTGCAAGTTTCCCGTCTTTTAGAGAAAAATATTTGGTGTCATCATTGGGGTCAGTTTCTGGGACATTATTAAGCAGTATACCTAAATTTATGTATACTCCCCATTGGCAATCTTTATTTTTATATTTTTTGGAACGTTATGCCCTAACTCATTGTCATAGCTGGGCACAGCTGCCCTACATGCACTAGAAATAATTGTATCACCTGATTATTCATCCAAAATAGGGGAGGATGCTGGTTCTACTACACCCCCCCCTGTGATTCCTTTATCAAAGCTGCTACGCTTTCAGTGACCTGTCTCAGTTGGTCTGCTGTCAACACCGCTGATTGCGGAGATGCTGGAAGACTGCTAACTGGTAGCTGAGAATGGTCATGTGCTGAAGGATCCAACAGCAATGAGGGGACAGCCGATGCTGCAGCAACAGCATTCGCCGATCGAGGACCCCGTCCTCTCCTTTGACCTTTCCTTGGCATGGGCTGACTATTGCTGTTTGCTTTGCGCTTCGGCATTCTGTCTATCTGTAGTCGTCTTTGAAAGTTTCAGCGTCGACTGATGACAAAACGTGGTATGACGTCAAATGTACTATTAAGGTAACACTAATAACCCCGGGAAAGAGAGGAATAATTCTATACGGGTTGGCTAACATACGCTGTCAACCGAACCAGATCAAAATAAAAATATAAAAAATAAGGTACATGTATTTCACTTTGATAAATGGCTTTAACCTTGATTGGTTAAATTCCATTAATTTAAAAGTGCTTGCCTGGACTTATGAATGATACTTGGTACTGATTAAATAGATTTATATATAATTTCTTATTGAAAGTAGCAGTACGTGGCTTTTCCTTGGTAACTTAATATTCAGAATACTGGGCATGTTACCCTTGGAATCCAGAAATGGGAAAGAACTTTCTAAGGTTTTGGATATTATGTCCAGTCATTTTGATGTATTGTCAATAATATATGTTAAAACAAATCAGTAATATTGTGATTAAGCACAAAACAAATTGCTACTCAACATCCCTTTTCTCTATGTTAAATTGAATACAGAAGTGTCGCATTAAACCAAAAACCAGTAATCTAAGTACACTTACTTCATCGTCTTTTAATAAAGTACAAAGTCGTCACAGTTAGTATATTACATCTTTTGTATAAAAGGAAATAAAACTTGAATAAATTTTCTGTACATAACTATACCATGCAGAAAATTCACTTTACAGGTTCGTTTACCACCGCTGAAGAGGGCTAAAGCGGCGGCGAGGAAGGTGATACTTAAGGATGATGACACAGATGAAGATGAAATTCTTGCAATATAAGAGGACTTTTTCAAAAATCTGCACTTAATATAGCCGAGGACAATATTAGAATACTCAGAGTGCAGTGTTATCATGTAAAACAATTTATTTTATAATATGTTAATCAAGAGCATTAATCGGAAACTCGTACAGTTTATAAAGTTGGGAGGATACTCTATAGTAATTACGGGATGTGTTTTTTTTTTATTTCATAAACATAAAACTTAAAAAAGATTGAAAATAAATTAAAATTCAAGACGAAATTATCTGAACGATTTTTCATTATTTTTATTCATTTTTCAGGGGTAGGGGTTGGGAGTTTAACAATGTTAAAGTAGTAATAAAGAATCAAACGTTTGTATAAGATGCTGATGTTTATTTGGGAATAAATTATTCAGAAGTGCAGATGTATTTCTTTTCAATTACTATAGTATGAATATATGCTCATACTAAATATTATTTTTCAGACATTACTATGATTTTATAATGTCCATAAGAGTAGCCTTCAACACCATGTGGCGGTAACCAGTATCGTTTATCGTCAAATGGAGACAGTGAAATTTTGTTGATAGCTTTCAGATACAAATCATGTTTTTCACTTCGTATAGAGTTCATGGTATGTCTTTCCAATTCACAGTGGTATAGACAGTCCACATAATTCTTATAAGCAAGTTTTTTGGAGACCACAGATTTAGAGATCCCTTTGGCTTTTTTCACTTCACCTCTTTTTCCATCGTCGAAAGTAAACGAGTACATCTTTGGCCTTAAACCCGCAAAACCTATGATAGGAACACCTGTGTAATAGAAAATTAAGATAATAATGATATTTAAACAGCTGCATATTTCCGGAAATGGAGAAGTCAAACAACTTACCTCCACTTTCATCTTTCATTTTGCCAACCACCTTTTTGTTTTTTTCATTGAATAAGAAGTGATGTTTTGGATAGTTTGATGTATCAAAAAGATCCATGTGTTGCTCTATCTCTGTGTACATATCCTCGACCTCGAACCTACAAATTAAACTTGAAACATAAATTGAATGTTCACTCCCACATTTCTCTTTCTTGGAAATCGGATGAAATTGCATGATAAAATACCTGTAAAAGAGAGAGTCTGTATCAGTCATCAACAATTTGGCCTTTTCTCGATATGTTGCTTTAATGAATTCATAATGGAACTGGTACATGAATAATTTGGAGAGGTCTAATATCGTCATACCAATGTAAATAGGCTTGTTAAGTAATAGTTTTACTTTCTTGTTTTTCACTCCGACGAGATGTGAATTGAAGATGGTGAACATCTCGAAGCTAGGTTTGCTGACAAGCTTTTGCAGTACCTTTTTTCGTATGCACTAAATTGAAATTCAATCTATTTCGAATGTTCTCCATGGTTTTTCTGAAATAATAAATGACATACATTAATACATGTTTTAAAATATCAACAAGTCAGTGATTTATCTAACAACTATAATTAGGGAGGCATTGAAGTGATGTTAGATAATTATTGAAAATTTAACGAATCACTAGAAATACTCTATTTAAGTAATATAACATTTCAGATGTTCCCTTTACGTCAACTCACCCAAATGCTACATTGTTATAGGCTTTCTAAAGGGACACCTCAAAGTCATTCTGCGCCTTTTGTCTCATTTTGGTGTTGTATTCTATGTAAGGTTTAAGCCATGAAGATTGTGTAAAGCTTATGACTCGATGTATTTCTTTTAGCACCAATCCGTGAATGATATAGAATTGCAAATTTCTGTAGTGAACAACATACTTTGTCTTTGTTCTAAGTGCAGGTACTAGCTTCTTCGAAATCTCCCCATTAATTTTATTTTTATGAAGTTTGTCAAATATACTGAAAGGAAAAAGAAACGCAGGGTAGCTTAATATTCGAAAACTTTTTGACCACTTGACCGAAAATTACGAAAATTGGTCAGATGAGAAATTAAGTTACTTTGCATCAAAATCAGTGTTCAGAATTACTCAACCGTAAAATGTATGACGTCATGTAGGGAAGACGCTAAAAAGTCCAAAACACGTGCAATTTGATGACGGCGAGTTTGTCAACAAATCTTGTTGCACCATTTGATGCACCTGAGATATACACATTGTTTTTCAATATTTAGAGATGATATGAATTTCTTGCAATCTTTGTACAGTTTATGGAAGTTCAATGGGGTCTGATTTTCGATTTGCCTAATTAATTAAAGAGGCATCAACGGTTAACTAAGCAGTTTCTTGTAAATTTTCCCCCATAAAACTTGTAACCCGTTGTCAGAGAGGGCCTGGAATGGTTTTCAATCAACCGTGACGATGACGTTAAAGTGAAACGGAGTCATGTTACGAGCGGGTTATTCTTCCTGCCACCTCTTAAATACCAGTCCTAATACCACAAAAATCGCCTTTTATACAGTAGATTATTATAATCATTACATTCGCTCAAAAAAAGAAAGAAAACAATTCTGCAATTTGTTTATTTGAGCATGTCAACTTACTGTTGTGTTCCTGTCACTCGCGCATGCGCGCTTCGCATGACTAATTTTTTGGCGTGGTTACCAATGCCCAATATAGCCAGGGTTTGAAAGATACTCACTCTGATGAATTCCATGCAAAGGAGAAATAACGCTCATGACAGATGTGCAGGAGAGACATTGAAGATAATGAGAGTTTTCGATTTTCACTTTTGGGGGGTACCGGCATATGAGCTTCAATAACTCAAAAATTATCAGACAAAATCAAATGAGATTTTGATTATATCTTTTCGAAAGATGATTGTAAAAGTAAGATAGGATAAATGAAAAAAATTGAAAGAAAAAA